GGAGCATATATAATGTGAAGATTCCTGGGCCATACCCTGAAACCCACAGGGTCAGAATGTCTAGGGGTTCAAGTTTAACAAGCACTCTGATACAGATGGAAAATTCTACAACCACTGGCTTGCAGTATTTCTTCATTCTGGAAGAACTGAACCCCTTTCTCAGTGGGGTTTAAATAACAGCCACATCTAACAAAAAATTACAGTTCACAAGCCACATCCGATCACACAAATTAAAATTCACAAGGTTTATGTCTTAAATGAACAAGGCTGAGGCTTTCAAGCTCTGGAAAATGGGAGAGGGGAGATTCTGAACAGAGCTCTTTAAAAAAAATTTATTTATTTGAGAGAGAGACAGAGATAGCGATAGAGAACACAAATGGGGAGAAGAGGGAGAAAGAGGCTCCCTGCTGAGCAGGGAGCCAGATGCGGGGCTCGATCCCAGGCCCCTGGGATCACAACCTGAGCCAAAGGCAGACGTTTAACCAACTGAGCCACCCAGGCTCCCCTGAACAGAGCTCCTGATGGCGAGTCTGCACGTGGCAGCCAGGATGGTCATTTCAAAATGCACGTCTCTCCCCTTGCTTAAAATTCCTCAGTTTCTTCCCATACTCTTCAGATATGGTGGCTGAAGGAGGCTTACTCATCTCTTAAGCTCTCTCCATTCCCACTCTTCTGGACACACTGGTTTTCTCTCAGTCCCTTGGGCTCATAATATTCTCTTCCACCCCAGTGCCTCTGCACATGCCATTCCCCTTTCCCCCTGTCTAGTTAAATCTTCCTTATCCTCCATATTACTTTCCTTTAGAGCCCCAATGTGAATAGAATCATACGTGTCTTTGTGGGATCCTATTACTTATGTGTCTCTCTCCTAGCAGCTTCCTGACTGTGGGGACCATGACTTATTCTACCATTGCTTTATCCCCAGGCTTGCCTCAGTACTGAGGCTCCAGGTAAATATTTGTGGAAGGAATGAGTGATAACAACTGTAAAAGCTAGCCTGGTGAAAACAGGTTTCCTTTTGCCGTGAGAGAACCAAACTCCTTACAGGATAGAGAAAGAAGTCTGCAGGGCAAAACCCTGCAAAGATCAATATTGATTTTTCCCTGAGCCAAATGATTACAAGTGACTTTTATTTTCTTCCTTATCCCGTGCTTTCTCCCATTTTTTAAAAACAGTAAGTGTGTAATGACCTTCCATTATCGGAAAAAGTAAATGGTGTCAAAATCTGATGCCATCAACAATCAGAACAATATGTCAACCTTGCCATGAGTATAAATCCCTAGAAGTAAGACTGTCTATTCTTTAGGATTTACTCAGGTAAATAAAACGATCTTTTTTATTTGCTGGATGTAACCTCTGGGTAATTTTGGAGATTACTTTTTATTAATATGTATTTCTGAACTTTATTTAGTGAAATGACTTCTAGTGGTACAAATAACATAAACTATAAATTGACTGGTGATTGATTCCTCAGGGTGGCCCATAGCTAATCAAGGGTGATTCTTCTCATCAGAAAGGCCCAAGGAAGTCAACAGAGCAATTTTCAACTTGTCTTGTTTTATAAAACTAGAAAATGTTGACATGTCCGCAGGTTTCAATTTTTCAAAATGGACCTGTGTCCCCACAATCCCTTTTAAACAAATCTCCTCTCCCAAATCCATTTAAACTTGGGGAAGAGGATTTGTTTAAGAGATGATAGAAGCGCCCATCAAAAGTCTGTTCACAAAACATTTGGCAATTCATGTGTCATCTGTTCTCTAGGGAGCCAAGATGAGCTCGTGCTTCTGGAAACACAGCCGACTGCTCATAAATCAATGTGACTGTGGCTGGCGGGGGTGATTTACTTCTTAAGCTAAGTCTGAGGAGCAGTAGGTGGTCAATTATTTTTACACAGTGAATGCAACTCAATTTCTGTCTATATAAAAATTGTCCTCATTAGTTCCTTTTTCCATATAGCTTGTTAATATCAGTGGCTCCTCATCTTAATCCTGTGCACCTTTAAGGATTCTTCTCAATCTCCATTTTATGAGCCTATATTAATGATCATGGTGTCATTTACTTAGAATCATGTGCCATTTTATGTGCATTTCTCACTTATTCCTTACCACAACCCTGTGAGATCAGTGGCTTATAGACAGGGAAAATGAGCTCAGAGAAATCAAGTAATTTGCTTAGAGTCACAAAGCCAACCAGTGGCCTAATGAGATTCAGTCTCAGGTCTGTCTCTCTCCAAAGCCTACAGTTTTCTAATATCATACTCGGGTTCAAAACACAGATCTCTGTTTCTACTTTGGCCAGACGTGAAATGAAACTACCTAAAACCTGTCCCTTGTTGTGATAAAGAAGAATCTGCAATTCTTCTTCTTTTCTCCCACTTTGTGCACTAAACAGAGATTTCTGTGTCCTTCCTTGTAGGGAGACTACATCATGGATAAGAACCTCAAGGGGAGGTCCATTGAGTTATTTTTAAATTTGAGAGTTTCTGACAAACACTCTCAGAAAATTAGGAATAAGCAATTATAAAGATTTATACTGCTTTGATCACTGTTATTCAACAGAGTACTGGACGTTCTAGCCAGTGCATTAAAGCAAGAAAAAGGAAATTAAGGGTATTTAAGATCTCCTTTTCTGAAAGGAGAAATAAACTTTTTATTTGTAGATGGCATGATTGTTTATGTGTAAAATCCCAATAAATCTGTAAAAACTTCCTAGGAGTACCTGGGTGGCTCAGTCGGTTAAGCATCTGCCCTTGCCTCAGATCATGATCCTAGGGTCCTGGGATCAAACCCCACATTGGCCTCCCTGCTTGGAGAGGGGGCTGCTTCTCCCTCCTTCTCCCTCCCCGCTGCTGCTGCCCCTGCTTGTGTGCTCTGAGCTCTCTCTCTATGTCAAATGAATGAATAAAATCTCCAAAACAAAACAAAACACAAAACAAAAAAAATTTTCTAGAAAGTTTAGTTACGGTTGCAAGATACCACATAAGCATACAAAAATCAATTGTATTTCTATATACTATTAATGAACATGTGGAAACCAAATTAAAAATATAATACCATTTACAATCATTAAAAAAAGATAAATACTTAAGTGCATATCTAACCAAACATGTACAGGGCTGGTATGCTAAAAACTACAGAACATTTATGAAAGAAATCAAAGACCCCCTAAATAGAAGGAGAGACATACCATGTTCATGGATTGGAAGACAACATAGTAAAGATATCAATTCTTCTCACACTGATATATTGGCTTAAATACAATTCCTATCAAAATTCCAGCAAGATATTTTGTATATATGGACAGGCTTATACTAAAATTGGTGTGAAAAGGCAAAAGAACTAAAATACGTAAAAAGAAAATTTTTTTTTTTTAAAGGAGGATAAAATGGAAGGAATCACTCGACTTGAGTCAACACTTACATAACTTCAGTAATCAAGACTGTGTTGTACAGGTAGAGGGACAGACACATAGATCAACGAAACATATAGGAAACTTGGAAATATCTCCCACACAAGTATGGCTAGATGGTTTTTGACAAAGTTCCAAAAGTATTTCAATGGAGAAAGGACAGTCTTTTCAACAAATGGTGCTGGGACAACTACATATCCACACGCAATGAAGAAGAACTTTGACCTAAATCTCATGTCATATACAAAAATGAACTCAAAATGGTGCATATATTTAAACACAAAACCTACAAAACTTCTATAAAAAAATATGAGAAATCCTCCGGATCAAGGACTTGGCGACATATTCTTAGACAGGACATGAAAAACATGATTCATGAAAAGAAAAAATGATCAACTGAACTTCATCAAAATCTAAAACTTCTGCCCTGTGAAATATTCTGTTAAGAGAATGAAAAGACAAGTTATCGACAAGGAGGAATGATCTGCAACCTCTGTATCTGAAAGAAAAGGGACATGTCTCTAAAATATTTTTTAAAAAACTCTCAAAACTCAATAGTTAAAAACCAAACAACGTGATTAGAAAATGGGCAAAAGACATGAAGAGACATTTCTCCAAAGAGGATGTGCACAAGGCCAATAAGCCCATGAAAAGATGTCCAACATCACTAGCCATTAGGGAAATGCAAATGAAGACCATGGGGAGGCATCACGACACACCAGAACAGCTAAAATTAAAAACCAGTGATAACACCAGTTGCTGGTGAAGATGCAGAGAAACCGTGTCTCATACATTTGATGGCAGGAATGTTAAATGGTACAGCCACTCTGGACAACAGTCTAGCAGTTTCTTTAGAAAACATACACTTCCCATCTGATCCAGCAATCACACTCCTGAGCATTTATCCCAGAGAAATAAAAACTTGCGGTCACACAAAAACCTGTGCACAAATGTTCATAAGTAGATTTATCTGTAACAACCCCAGATTAGAAACAATCAAAATGTCCTTTAATATGTGAATGGTTAAACAAACTGGTACATCTCCACCATGGAGATATTACTCCCAACAAAAAGGAACAGGCGAACAACCTAAATGGATCTCAAGGACATTATGCTGAGTGAGAAAAAAACAATCTCAAAAGGTCACATGTGGTATAATTCCATTTATATAACATTCTCAAATGTTATACACATCACAACAGTCTCCAAAAGCTCTGGAAAAGGCGAGAGGCCATTGCTCAAGCCGAGTACTTCAGGTGGCCCTCACTGTCAGGCCCAGAGCAGGTGAAGGTCAAAGCATGAGCTCCATGAGCTCCATGCCCCCCATTTGGCTGGGGGGAGGGGACGATAGGTGGGGCATCCGTACACATGGTCAGCAAAGGACAGAGGGCACATCACACTCTATCTCATACTTATTTTCACTACACATGCTGAGGAGACCCAGTACATTCCACAGGTAGTTATGGGTCGCACATGGAGGGAGGATGTGGCTGTTAGCTAGAAGATGTGCTTTAAAAAAGACTCGAGTCCACAGAACAGCAGGGACGTGTGGAGGGGGTGAGATGCTGGGAGTGGGCAGGAACAGTTCTTACCTCTAAAACAAGGTCTGAGTCTTCATGCCTTCCAACAGTAGTACTTTTATTCAGGACAAAAAAGCCTTCTGCGCTCTTTAGGTAGGCTTTCATACTCTCTGCTTTCCCTATAGAAGGTTTTCAGAAAAAAAAAAAGTTATTAGGAAAATGCAATCTTCTGATTATTCAACATCACATTTAGAATGGATGAAATGCACCATCATGTTAAAGGAGAAATCAGCAGAGGTTGGAGAGGATAGATGGACTTTACAGTTTGAGCACAATTTCTGCAGATTTTTAAGACTATCTTTTTAAGCAGTGACATCTAGCAAAGATGAGCTTGGTTCTGATCATCAAACAGAAGACATTTTTTACATAACTCAGTGCCCAAACCACCAATAACAGAAACAACCCAATGACAAACCTGAATTCCACTGATAATCTCTGTCCACCCCCCATGAAGCTCAGTACAATGTTAGTTATCTGACACAGGAGGTATTCTGTCCCATATTCTTAACCCACCGCACACTAGCTCTGTGACTTTGGGTGAGTTACTTCTTTCTCTATGCCTCAGTTTTCTCATCTGTAAAATGAGGTTAATAATACTCTGTAACCCAAAGGGTTCTGTGAGGATGAAATGCAATCATGTGTGTGAAGCTTTTGGGGTGGTGGCCGCTATGCACTAACCACACATTTGTCCTGTTATGATGATGATGATGATGATGATGATGATGATGATGAAGAATCTTGGGCTTATTGAACTTGAACCCAAGGAAGTTTAGCCTTCTATAGAGCTTCTGAAACTGCTGAGTTAGTCATTGAGGGAATGGGCTTTAAAGGATACTTTCTTTGTAAATCACTCCGTTTCTTCATAAATTAGGGGGAAAAGGGTAACTTTGAAAGGCAAACCATCAAGAGTCTAGCTTGAACATATGATCAAGACTCTGTACATATTTTCCCCCAACCTTTTTTTATGAAAATGTCAGATACACAGGTGAACTCCTTTATACCCACCACCTAGATCCTACAATTGACATTTTGCTATATTTGCTGTATCACACAACCCTCCATCTAGCCATGTATCCATCCATTTTGCAGTTAGATGCATTCCAAAGTAAGTTCTATACTGGTTTTTTAAAATATAAAAATCTCAGTGACTTCAGTAGGTTCCAAAATGTTGATAATTCATATGACGCTTGAATTCTGATTTGAGGTATGTCCAGTTACACAGTGGGACATCCTTCATCTCAGTGCCGTGTTCAAGAGCCAAAGTCCCTCTCTTTTCTTTTCAACTAAAAGGTCACTGAAATGTGATGCTGTTGGACTGTGGATAAAAACAAAGACCATCTAGTTGTGATCATAGGGGTCTTGGGTCTGGTTCTGCTTTTCATCCACATCTCCATCATCAATGACTGAATCCCTCCTAAGTGCCAGGCACTGTGCTATTTTTTTAAAAATTTTATTTATTTATTTGAGAGAGAGAATGAGATAGAGCATGAGAGGGTCAGAAGGAGAAGAAGACTCCCTGCTGAGTAGGGAGCCCAATGCGGGACTCGATCCCGGGACTCCAGGATCATGACCTGAGCTGAAGGCAGTTGCTTAACCAACTGAGCCACCCAGGCGCCCCTGTGCTATTCTTTTATACACACTGTCTCTTTTCCTCCTTGGAACAGCCCTGTGAGGTAGGTATTAGTACTGTCCCACTTTACAGATGGGGAGACTGAGGCTCAGAGAGGTTAAGGACACACAGCACCAAGTGTCAGGGAGACAGCTCTGAGCCTTTGCATGTAACAATCGGCCGGCAGCTCAATTTCCATGTCTGCTGCTGGACAGAGAGGGGTGGGGGGAGTTGACTGTCTCTTGACACCTGGGACATGTCAGAAAGTCCTTGACACCCAGATTCCATCCTCTGAAAGGAAGAAAAGACCCAACCTGGGGGTAAGAGAAATAAAAATAAGCCAGATAGTTTATTTTATATTTGTAAACTCTGAGAGCTACGGATACCTCACAAATATGTTTTCCTGTAATGAGAAATACATTTTATTAAGTTCAATGTCATTCACAGAAAGGGAGAGACATTTCCTCTTCCCAAAGAACCATGCTCTGTTAGCTGTCAAATCACTTCAGTTATTCACTTCAATGGCAGAGGACCATGTTATCAAGCAACACATTCAAGCCTAATTAATCTGGAATGCAAACTCGGGAGAAAAGTCTCTTCTGCAGGAAAACCACAGGGAATGCTACTAAATTAAACCCCAGAACTTGGGTCGTGTGCATGCTCGATTTTTAGCTCTCCCCCTAGATGTTCCCAAGGCTGGTGTCTTCTCTCTGCTCAGATGGCCCCCCTGTATGGCAACCACCTGACCACCCTAGCTAAAGGCACCCTTTAGTCACTATTGGCATATACCACCTGCTGTGTTTCCTTCTTTGTGCTTATCGACCTCTGACATTTTCTGGTTCCTTTATTTAGTTGTGTTTGCCGTTTATTTTCCTTTCACTGAGATATATGTTCCCAGAGAGCCAGAACTGCATTGTTTCTGTTAAGAGACAATTCTTCATGGGTACCTTGTATTTGTACCCATTATGGAGCAAAGGCATTGACAAATTTTGTCCTGTGTCTTCTGCCAGCATCTATAAGCTGGCCAGGCTAACTTATTAGCTTGCAAGCAAGGTAAAAGCTCAGACCCTTTGCAGTTCCTCACAGTTTCGTTCATTACCCCATCTCCAGCATCTGCAGCCTAAGTCTTCATGCCTTGAGTCAAGGCATGAGTCAAGTAGGGTCATAGTAGATGCTCAGTAAACATTTGCTGAATGAATGAAAATGCAAATGACACATCAAAGCAAATCTGTGCTGCCAGCTGGCTAGGAATCTTCCCACCTGGTGTCTACCTTAGATATCCTTTTTGGAAACCCTAAATTCTACCTGGAGCTTTTGGGTTGGACACTCTCTCTCCATCTTAATCTTGCCCTGTGCAGTCACTCCCCTGCCTGAAAACACCGTAGAAAGTAATTTGAATGTGTTAAATTCTGGAAATTCGCTCTTAGTGCTGTGAAGCACCAGGCATAGTAAAGAGCAAATCACCTGCATACCCCCTGACCACTTGGGATGGCTCAGAATTGGGCTAGAGAAGCAGTATATCTTTTCAGGGCTACAGGTCTTCAGTGGCCTGGGAGCTGCAAAAGTTCCTCAAGGGAGGGAAGGTCAGGTAAGGGGATCTCTGGCCATTGGGTGGGTGTTGTCCCTAAATCAGGGGAACCAGAGGGCACGCCTCCTAATCCCAGCTGTACCCCACTGGATATCTAAGAGCGGTATGCTTGGTGCCCAGGAGGGTCCTGAAGCTCCCGCGCAGGCTACTTCTGGAGCCGGGATGGGGGCCTGCATTTTAGGGAGGACGGGCTGGTGTTGGAGCAACTCTTCTGGGTGCTCCTGGGGACCTGAGCCTGGATCGAGAGGAGTTCCAGCTGGGGGTGGGGCTGCGTCCCGCACCTCGCCTCCAAGCTCTTGACCTCGCAGAGCCCACCGGGTTCGGCCCCAGGTCTCCGCCCGCTGCCTCCTCCCGTGCCGCACTCACCTGGCCGGAGGCGGAAGCCCACGCTCTGTCCCCCGCCGAGAGGCCGGCGGGGTCGGGAGGAGCCCGGCCCGCTCCCGGGCGAGGCCGCCTGGCCGCGCTCCCGCGGAGTCTCC